CGGCGATAGTCGACTCCCTTTGGCGTAATCATCTGTACCGATCCGTGAGGACGTGGCTTGTTGGCTCCTGAAGCCACTGTAGGCGCACAGCACTGCTGCAAGCACAGCTCTGAGCTGAACAACCGTGCGGCGGAGGGAGACATCACACTGGCGGCACAGCACCACACCGAGGTTCGGCGACGGGAGTGGCGGCGACGGTGGTGGCGGTGAGAGCCGATGGCAGCGCCGGCAGAGAGGGCGGCGGCGTCGGTGGGGCGGCATCGGCGTATGAGGCACCGACGGGTGCGATTCGCCACCCCAGAGCGTCGCTCCTTGCCACGCACCGTGAGCGCGTGAGACCACGTCTACTTACGTACAGTAGGTTCTACGCCGAGCGCCTCGCCTGGGAGGCGAGAGCGCGTGACGATCGTCGAAGCGAGCAGTTCGACATGTGACGAGGTTTAAAGGGAAGTGTTAGAGTAAAAAGAGCAAAACACACCACTTGGCTATCTAATCGCTCGCAAACGGCGCCTCCCTTGGCGAGGCGCCTTCCATCATGGGATCCGGCGGTGGTCTCTTGAAGATCGGGATGCCGTTTGGGTCCGAGACCTTCACCTAAACAAAAGTCCTGGCCCGCGGCCCCCACACCCACAATGACTATCAATCCAGGCTGCGGGTGAAGGGCAAAACCGCGCCGCTGCAGAACGGTTTTTGCAAAACCGCGCCGCAGCGGTACGAAACTGCGCAGATGCAGTCCAGGGGTGGTAAGGACACTATGTGTGTGTGTGTGGCGGTAGACTAGACGGCTGCGCGGTCGTCGGTCTTCAACAGCCCCCCATCCTCGCATCGGGTAGCGAGGCTGAGGATCTGAAGAAGCTAGACGACTCCTACATCTCCTACTATCGCGCGCACAATTGCGCAGCCTCCTCAAGGGTGGAGGACGAACATACAGGTGACTCGGGGAGCTCCAGGAGCGCCCATACTGCCGGTTGTCGACTACATTTGATGAAGGGGAAGTCGGCGTTTCCCCTCTGTGCCGTCCTAGGCGGTGTCGTTCATGATCTCCTTGCGGAACGACTCGAACTCCTTGCGCGGGAGCGGCTTGGTGAAGAAGTCGGCGAAGTTCTTGAGGCTCTCGACGTACTCGACCTTGACCTCCCCGGACTCGACGAGCTCGCGAATCTTGAGCTCCTTGCGCAGGATGTGCTTCGTCTTGTCGTGCATGACCGGGTCCTCGGCGACGCGCAGCGCGGCCGTGTTGTCGATCTTGATGACGGTCGGGCCCTTGGGCTTGTAGCCGAGCGACGCGAGGAGCGAGCGCAGGTGGACCGCCTCGCAAGCCGCCAGCGTGCCGGCAGAGATCTCGGCCTCGAACGTCGAGAGGGAGATGTGACCCTGCTTCTTGGAGAAGTACGAGATGATCGCGGTGCCGATCTTGAAGGCGCAGCCGGAGGTGCTCTGGCGGGTGCACCAGTTCGCGTCGGAGCAGCCGAAGAGCTTGGGGTCGGCGACGCGCTCGTAGTGGAGGCCGAGGTCCTGCGTGCCGATGAGGTAGATGAGGCAGCGCTCGGCGGCGGCCTCGATGTTCGCGTCGGGCCAAGCCATGCAGCGCGCCAGCTGCGAGACGGTGTACTGGATGTCGGGGCGCGCGTTGGTGGCGAACATGAGGCTGCCGATGAGGCACTGGCAGCGCTGGAGGAGCTGCGGGTCGGGCGCGGTCTTCTTCTCGGCTGCGCTGATGACGATGGACGGGAGGTCCTTGTCCGCGGGCACCTTGTAGCCCGCGTGCGGGCACCTTGTAGCCCGCGTGCGTGACGCCTGAGGGGAAGAAGCGCGCGCGCAGCATGTCGATGTACTTGCTGGCAGACAGCTTGAAACCGGTCTGCGTCTTGGTGATGGTGAGCCCGAGGAACTCGTGCGCCTTTCCCTCGTGGTGTTGAAGACCGACGACCGCGCAGCCGTCTAGTCGACGGCCACACACACACACATAGTGTCCTTACCACTCAGGGACTGCACCTGCGCAGTTTCGTACCGCTGCGGCGCGGTTTTGCAAAAACCGTTCTGCAGCGGCGCGGTTTTGCCCTTCACCCGCAGCCTGGATTGATAGTCATTGTGGGTGTGGGGGCCGCGGGCCAGGACTTTTGTTTGAACAAAGTTTTGACAGTACATTTCTGTCAGGCCTTGGAACAGCTTGTGAGTGGTCACTGAAGACCTTCACAGTTGGTAGCGGCGGGGCAACGATCCCCGGGACATTACGACAACATGTCGTCGACGGACAAGCTGGTGATTCCGGCCTACAAACAGGGCTCCGAGCGGGAGTTCAACGAGTGGTCCCGCAACCTGCGGACCGCGGCAAAGCAACACAAGTACCTCCTCGACATCATCGAGGTGGGCACCATCCGGCCGGGCGCGGAGCGCGAGGCCGAGGCGGTCGCGCTACAAGAACGTCGGCGTTGCGGAGGGAATCATCACGGCACGGATCGACACGTACTTCGAGAACCTGTCGAAGACTCTGTCGCGCCAACTCTACGGTGCGCTGCAGAACGCCGTCAAGGACGACGACACGCTGGCCGAGATGTTGGCGGACGAGGACGCCGACCACTACGACGACATCAAGAAGGGCATCGCGGCGATCAAGTCGCTCATCGAGTCGGAGGACACGAACTCCAAGAACGTGCGCACGAAGGCGCTGCGCGCGGATCTCGAGAAGGCGTACTCCCCCGACGCTCTCAAGGACCTCACGTCCGCGAGCCTCGCCAAGTTCAAGACGGGCATCGTGTGAAGGTCTTCAGTGACCACTCACAAGCTGTTCCAAGGCCCGACAGAAATGTACTGTCAAAACTTTGTTCAAACAAAAGTCCTGGCCCGCGGCCCCCACACCCACAATGACTATCAATCCAGGCTGCGGGTGAAGGGCAAAACCGCGCCGCTGCAGAACGGTTTTTGCAAAACCGCGCCGCAGCGGTACGAAACTGCGCAGATGCAGTCCAGGGGTGGTAAGGACACTATGTGTGTGTGTGTGGCCGTAGACTAGACGGCTGCGCGGTCGTCGGTCTTCAACAGCCCCCCATCCTCGCATCGGGTAGCGAGGCTGAGGATCTGAAGAAGCTAGACGACTCCTACATCTCCTACTATCGCGCGCACAATTGCGCAGCCTCCTCAAGGGTTGTTGTACTCGCCCGTCGAGACGCCGCCGCGGCTGCGGGTGGTGCGCGGCGCAGGCGCACCCGCTGCGGGCGGGTTGACGTTGCCGTCATTGGCCGGGTCTGGCATGATCACCACCTCCTCGTCGAGGGTCAGCCCCCCGGCGTGGTTGTCGGTGGTGGGGAGGAAGACGGAGTCGCCGCGGGTCACGTTGTTGTCGAGCGTAGCCTTGTCCGACTCGTCGGGCGTCTCGTCCGCGGTCACAGGCTCCGGCCACGCGCCCTCGATGTCCGTCGGGGTGAGGTCGGAGGTAGGAGCACGGTACTCGATGCCGTTCCAGAGCTCGTTGACGCAGAAGGTCGCCTGCGTGGTGGTGCCGATGTGCCCCTTGCGCGGACCCTCGGTGATGACGTACTTCCAGCCGGGCGAAGTGCGCGAGATGCCGAGGAAGGCCGCCATCTGTCGTAATGTCCCGGGGATCGTTGCCCCGCCGCTACCAACTGTGAAGGTCTTCAGTGACCACTCACAAGCTGTTCCAAGGCCCGACAGAAATGTACTGTCAAAACTTTGTTCAAACAAAAGTCCTGGCCCGCGGCCCCCACACCCACAATGACTATCAATCCAGGCTGCGGGTGAAGGGCAAAACCGCGCCGCTGCAGAACGGTTTTTGCAAAACCGCGCCGCAGCGGTACGAAACTGCGCAGATGCAGTCCAGGGGTGGTAAGGACACTATGTGTGTGTGTGTGGCCG